GCTTGCCCCCAGTGACATGCTTCCTTCAGCATGGCCACACCTTCTAAGACCTCCCCAAACAGTGCCACCAACTGGGGACAAAATGCTCAAATACTTGGAGCCTATGGGGGACATTCTCATTCAAACCACCACATTCCACTCCCTGGTCCCCTCAGGCTCATGACCATATAAAATACAAAATGGATTTAGTCTAACCTTAAAAGTCCTCATAGTCTTTACCAATCTCAATATCATTCTAAAGTTCACAGTCCAAAGTCTCTTCTGAGACTCAGGGCACTCTCTTAACTATAAGCCCCTGTAAAATCAAAAGGCAAATTACATATTCCCAACATTCAGTAGAACTAAATACACATTTCTGTTTCAAAAGGGAAGAATAGAGACATAGTGAGGAAATACCAGATCAAGACAAGACTGAAAACCAGCAGGGCAAACACCAAATTCAGTACTTCCATGCTCAATGTCTGGGAATTTACTTTCAAAGGGCTTAGCTGGCTCAGCCTCACCAGCTTTGCTGTGTGGAACACACATCTCTTTCTTGGGCTGGTACCACCCTCTGTATGCAGCTCTCCTTGGCAGATGCCTCACAGCACTGGCATCATGAACGTCATCTTGGGGTCTCTACTGCCAACCAGGCTTCACTTCACAGCTTTACACAATAGCCTATCAGAGCCTTCTTTATTCAGGGATGCCCCTGCTGCATGCTACCTGGTCTTCGTGGTTCTCTGAAACTTTGGAGGAAGAACTGATGACCCCTTCACTATTGCATCTTTCATGCCTTTAAAGCCACCACCAGGCAAATGATGCTGCCAAGTGTGACTGCAACTTTGGGGTGGACCCTGAGTTGCTTCATCTACTTTTGAAGCTTTTCTCTGCTGTGGTTTTCTAGGAGTAGAAAATTCTCTAGGCCTCTCCTTAATCACTTTAATCTCCTTATGATAGACATCCTCTCCTTCAGCACATGCCTTGGCTCCAGTGTTAATCTTCTTGTACTCTTTCAATCCAAACTGTACATTCTTCATTTCTTTCTGCCCCATTTGCTCTTTTTCACTGTAGAGCTGCATAATATTCACCATTAATAGCCATGCCACCATTTCTACATTAGGCTTCCTTGAAAGATCCTCTGCCAAAGAAATTAGTCCATTGTTTTTTAACTTAGCCTCAGGCAAACTTTTTGGCTGTGGGTAGACTCCAGTCAGACTCTGCCAAAATAGCCCAATTGCTGTTTACATCTTTATTTCCCTCTAGAACTACATTGTTCTCAGCACTACTTTCTTCTAGGAGCCTACTTGAATGGCCTGTTAAGCTTTGCTTGCAGCAATCAACCACTTTTCTAGCACAAACTTCCAAAGTCTTCCTATTCATCCCAAAACCCACATGGTCAGATTCTTCACAGCGAATGTCCCACACTCTGATACCAATCACTGTATTAGTCACTTTTCTGTTGTTGTGATAGAAACACCATGATCAAGGAAACTTATAAAAGGAAGAGTTTATTTAGCTTATGGTTCCAAAGGGGCAAGAGTCCATCATGGCAGGAAGGCATGGCGGCAGAGGTGGCTGGAGTCGGAGCAGAAGCTAAGCTCTCATGTCTTCAAGCAGGTACAGGAAGCAGAGCAGAAGATTAGATTCTTATAATAGCTCAGACAAAAAGAGTGGTGTGGATACTTAAAGTTTTAATTTTTATTTGTGTGTGTGTGTGTGTGTGTGTGTGCTGGTGCCTGAGGAAGCCAGAAGAGGGTATCATATCTCTTGTAGCTACAGGCAGTTGTAAGCCATCCAATGTGGTGACTGATCTGGGTCCTCTATAAGAGCAGCAAGTGGTCTTAACCGTTGAGCAATCTCTCTAGTCCTGGGTTTATATTTTATGATCCAAAAGTAGTAGAAAAATTGGAGAGGACCTATAAAAAAAATTTCTTTGACTATTTGGACTGGTGATACAATTTTGAACTTAAAATATTTTACTTCTAAATTATAAACATAAATTTTCCAAGATTTGTAGTAGGTAGCAGTAAAAAATAAATGATAAACTATGACTGATAAGCAGATTAAATATTATAACCACAGATAATAATCGACATTTTCCAGTTATTATTTTTTAATATTTTATTTATTATTTTTATTTTATGTGTACGAGTGTATTGCCTGCATGTATGTGAGTGCACCCGTGTTGTGCAATGCCGTGGAGGTCAGAAGAGGGCTTCGGATTCCCCTGGAACTGGAGTTAAGGATGGTTCATAGCCGCCATGTAGGTGCTGGGAATTGAACCTGGGTCCTCTGCAAGAGCAGTCACAGTGCTCTTAACCGCTGAGCCATCTCTCCAGCCTCTGGTTATTATTTTTTAATTAAAAAAATTTTTGGTCTTTTTTGAGATAGGGTCTCCCAGTAGCCCCAGCTGGCCTGGAACTCATTATATAGACCAGGCTAACCTTGAACTCACAGAGATCCTCTTGCCTCTACCTCCCAAGTGCTGGAATTAAAGGTGTGCTCCACCATGCCCAGCTCCCTTTCACTTTCTTAATGGTTCAGAGTTCTTGAGGTTTACTATAAAATATAATCCATTATAAATAGCCCCATGTAGTCTGTTTTTCCAGGTACATAGTTCAGAAGACAACAAGCCACCGACTTCACAAAAATATATCAAACAGAGAAAAGGAAAAGAAGAAATAAATGCCAGAATCATCTGGGGTAAAAAAATAACATGAAGTGGAATTGTGGTGCTTTGAAAACTATTCCAAGCATACTTTATAATTTTTGACCTCCACATTCAACACATCTGTGATAAACATAGTTTTCAGGTATTACTCTATAATATTACTCTTATTCTGAAACTTTCCTATTTGGGATGTTGACCTCTTTGAATAATCCTGGTGTACGTTTATTATAAAAAGTCACATACTACTTAACAAGAACGACAGGACCAACCCAATGAACAGATGGGCCAAATGCTTGAACAGCCATTTCTACAGTGAAGATGAACAAATGGCCAGTAAGCACAGGAAACAATGCTCCACATCCTCAGTGCTACAGGAATGCAGCTCAGAAGCACACTGAGGTACCACCTCACACCTACTAGGATAGCTGCTGTCTTTGAAAATGGAACATAGCAATTGATGGTGAGGATGTGGAAGAACTGAACTCTGCACTATCCTGGGGGACATGCAAGATAGTGTGGCCATGGGAGACAGGTCGTTCTTAGATGGCGATGATTGAGCAGCATTGTGACGAGAGAACACCACTGAATTACACACTTAAAAGGGGTGAATATGGTAATTTTGTGTTATATTTTATCACAGCATAATAACAACCAAAGGAATAAAAAGTATTAAAAAATAAATCATTTAAAAAAAATTAAAAACTTTCCAGAAATAACCTCTGTCAGCATTTGGTAGTTATGTAATTTAATTCTTTATTCTGTGCTTTAAAATTTTGTTGTGAGAATTCAGAAGTTACTCTATCAGAAAGTCTAAATAGTATTAAAAGCCTCCTGAACATTGAGGCTTGTTTAGTACAAACTGTGAGCCAGGTATGAGGAGGTAGCTTCTCCCACATAAGTGATCGAGTCTTTTAGAAGATGGTCCAGTCCAGCAAGTCAGTCATGGAAACAACAACTGGATGAAACTGGAAATGAGGAAAAGCCACAGCATCCAACACATTGGTGACAAGCATCATTGTTCTCAGCTTATAATATTAGGCAGTGTTGTTTTTCTTATTTCAGTCTGATCTCAAGTGTTACTGTAAATTGTTTCTTCCCCCCTCTCTTTCAAATGTCTCTGGATATAACATGATAAAATAATATTGGTAATAATTTGATTTGTGTATCACCAGGCTATATATGTTTAAAATCTTTCTGAAAATTTATTACATTTTTATTTACTTGTGTGTGCATTTGGAAGTCAGGGGATAACTTGGAAGAGTTAGTTCTCTCTACAGTGTGGGACATGGGGATGGAACTCAGGTTGTCAGCTCACTATCCCCCATCAGGATGTCTCTCTCTCTCTCTCTCTCTCTCTCTCTCTATATTTTTTTTTTTTTTTTTTTTTTTTTTTTAAACAGGGTCTCCTTAGCCTCGGCCTGCCTGGAACTCACTATGTAAACCAGGCTGGCCTTGACCTCACAGAGATCTGCCTGCTGAGATCAAAGGCGTGCACCAAGTTTAATAGTAGACTAGGAAAAGTTTAGGAAGTCAGAGCATTTTGTTCTAGTTTGAATTCTGTCATTGCTTTTCTGTAACCATAGGCTGGAACAGTGACGTTAAGGCAGAACCAGCACACGATGATTTTGAAGACAACGCTTGTATAGAGAGTTGGAATATTCTATAAAACAATCACAACTACCGGGCTCCCTGTCTCTCCACCTCCTCCATTCTCAAATACATGTGATTTCTTTAATAATTAACAACAAAGCATGTCTGAATTCTAATCTCATTCTACCATTTCCTAATTGTGGAAAATTTACTTAGCCTTTTCACTGTCAATTTCTTCATCTGTAAAATAGACATTAAAAGAGGGTGACTTCTTAGGTTTGTTGTGAGGGTAGGGTGACTATGGACAAAGGCCCTCAGGGCAGTGCTCTCCATACTGAAGTGCTTGGTGGATGCAAGCGACTTCTTCGCATGTCGATGGACGGTGATATGCTCCATGCGCTCAGCCCTGGCATGAATGTTATGAGAGAGCTGGTCAGACATTATGCTTCCTTAGTTGAAGGATTTTGTTTGGTCAGTCAGATGCCTCTAAAAGTATCCAATTAGGATTCAGTGGATTTTTTTTTTCTTTTCTTTTTTTTTTTGAGACAGCCTGACTTTGAACTCATGATTCCTCTGCCTCAGCCTCCCAAGTGCAGGCAGTACAGGTGTGTACCACTAGGACTGGTTCTTAATTATTTTTTGTTTTTACTGTTTATTTTTCACCCTTAATTTTCTTGACTGCATATATATGCTGCTTTGCATGTTTTGCTTTTCTCGTTAAAATTTTACGATTTCCAGTTTTCACAATTGGCCTCAGGTGTAATGTCTTTGCTGTGGCCTCTTCTTCTTGATGTGGTTCCAACAATTCAACAGACTGCTGCCTTGGATCTGGGGAGGCTGGCCTTATACAATGACTTGGCAGAAGCCATTGTGAAGGGCAACATTCTCCCACAGCTTGTCTATTTGTTGTTAGAGCAGAATGTAAGAAGTTTTGAAAAATGTATGTTTTTTTGTTTGTTTTTTGGTCTTAGATTTTAAAAAGGTATTATTTTTATTTTATGTGTATGAGTGTGTTGCCTGCATGTGTGTAAGTGCACCTGTGTCATGCAATGCCCGAGGAGGTCAGAAGGTGTCAGATTCCCCTGGAACTGGAGTTACAGATGGTTGTTAGCCAAACCCGGGTCCTCTGCAAAAGCAGTCAGTGCTCTTAACTGCTGAGCCATCTCTCCAGCCCTGGTCTTAGATTTTTTTAAATTGATAGCTTTGTCACAATTGCCACCTTGAAGGCATTAGAGATATTGAGGAGTGCCTACAGCCTTAGATTCCCTGTACTGTGCATGACAGTATGTTTATGGAATTCTACTTTGGGGCTGACATGCAGCTTTCTTCATTATTGTTAATTTAAGGGGATTATGCAAAAAATTCAGGGAAACGCACAGCAGTATTTCTGCACATGGATACTTCAGTAAGCTCTCGGATCGGTCTCAAGGAAGAATGTAGGGCCCTAGTAAGTAAATAGTTGCTTTCAGCAATCCTTACACGTAGGTGAAAGAGCCAGCCCCGAAGTGAAAGAATACATTAAATGGAAAGGTTCATAAAACATTTTTACTGGATACACAAGCATTTCAGCTCTTTTTAAAGTGCTCTCTGGGGGCTGGAGAGATAGCTCAGTCTGTAAAGTGCTTGCCCGATGGGCATGAATACCTAAATTCAGTTCCAGGAATCCATATAAAAATGGCAGGCGTGGTATCACAGGCTTATAATCCCAGCACTGAGGAGGTGGAAACTGGAGGATCCCTGGGGTTCATTGGCCAGCTGGTCTGGCTCAGTTGATGATCTCCAGGCCAGTGAGATACACTGTCTCAAAGGAGGTGGATGGTGCACCTGAGGGTGACACCAAAGCTGACCTCGGGCCTCCACAGGCACACATGCACCCATAACATGTAAGGACACACATACACACACACACACACACACTCACACACACACACACACACACACACACAGCTCTCCAGTGTTATTCTGTGTTCTAACTTGCTACCTGTCTGCTTTCTATGAGTAGGTTGTAGACTACCTGCCCTACTCTGTTTGATATAATACAGGTGTAGTCACTTTTGATGTCCTTAAGACCAAATCCCTGCTTACATAATAAAACAATAAGTAAAAATGGGAAAACTGGTGAAGAACTTGAGTAGAGCCTTCCCCAAAGAGCATCTACAGATGGCCAGCAAACACTGGAAGTGGCTCAGCAGCACTGGCTCCTGAGAGTGAAAATCAAAGTCAAAACGAGGTATCACAACACACCCACAAGGGTGACCATAATAGAAAAGCTTTCTTTCCAGCCCCCAAAGAGCACTTTAAAAAGAGCTGAAATGCTTGTGTATCCAGTAAGAATGCTTTACGAATCTTTCCATTTAATGCATTCTGTCACTTGGGGCTGCCTGTTTCACCTGCACGTAAGAAGGAAAATAGCAAGTGTGGGTGAAGTTGTGGAGAAACTGGACCCTCCTGTATGTCTGGAGGCGTGTAGAAGGGTGAACTGCTGTGAAAAATGATTTTGCAGCTATGCCAGGTTCAGTGTTTTTATGAATGAGCAATTCTTCTAGTTGTACATCCAGAACTGAATGTAGCGCTCAATCCAGTCAGACACAAATATTTAGAGCAACATCACTCACAACAACCTAAAGGTGGACGTCAGCCAAAACTATCACCAGATAAATGAGCAAGCAAAACACATCTATCCCATACACTGGACTACTATCTGTCATAAAAAGGAATCATGTACTGATAAATGCAGTAACATTGTGGACGATTCTTTCCTTCCTTCCTTCCTTCCTTCCTTCCTTCCTTCCTTCCTTCCTTTCTTTCTTTCAATTTTTAGTGTTTTTGAGACAGGTGCTCCCTGTATCCCCAGCTGGCCTGGAACTCACTATGTAGACCAGGCTGGCCTTGAACTCAGAGATCCACCTGCCGCTGCGTCCTGAGTGCTGGGACTAAAGGCGTGGGCCATCACGCCTGGCTAACATGGACGATTCTTAAAAACAGTATGCCAAGTGAAAGATGTGAGACTACACATCATATTATCCCATTTATATGAATATGTGGAATATGCAAATCCACAGACACAGAGACAGATTAGTGGTTGCCAGGGGCTAGGGGAACAGGGAGTGACTGCTTAATGTTAAGGGACTCTTGGGCAATGAAAATATTCTAGAAACAGACAGTGATGATGATGCCGAGTATGCTGTGAACGCGTCACGTGCCCTTGAATGATTAGTACGGCAAATTTTATGGCTTATTTATTTTACCAGATTAAAAGCATCCTAATTGTGCAAAAAGCTGTTTCAGTTCATAGATTTGAGAGCCATGTGCTAATGCCTTTACATGCCAATACAGAAATCCTCATTTTTCCTGTGGGCGTTTCTTTAGCGAATGCTGCTAGGCTTTCTTCCTCTGCTCTCTTCTTTCCTTGGAGCGGGATCTATGCTGTATCCTACACAGGTTTCAGGAATTCTCTCAGTGGGAATGACTGTGTTCTCCTTGTAGAGACAAAAGCATTACGCAGAAAAGTGGGGGTGGGGGTGGGGTGAGGGGGCACGGATACACAGGAAGCAAAGCGTTATCTAGGAGCTCCTTCACCTGCAGCCTGCAAGCCGGGTCCCCTCTTTGCAAGGTAGAGTCCTGTGATTTTGTTTTGTTTTTCAATAAAGAATTGGTGCTTATAGGAATAGGAAAATGAAACATTAGAAATTTGAGGGAAATAAAAAGGATAAAGGGATCAGAAAGTGTAAATTATAGGCTCTAGTAGTCAGCAGGCAGCTACTGATATACCTCCAAATACCTATACATTATACATTGATGCGTCTATGGAATGAAACGTCCACTTAGCGTAAGACAGCGACCAGAAATGTGTCAACATTATCTTCCACAATAATAAGAAGGTAATCTTTAGAAAGTTACTTTAAAAGTCTACCTAATTTTTGTAATAAATTAGTAGAAATTGGGTTTTGACAGAACTTAAGAAACTAGAGAAAATACATCACACCCAAATACCAGAACAATACTGACACTGGCAACTTTTGTGAATTGTTTAGATGCACCATGCTAAAATATACTTGGTGTGTTTTTCTCTTATAATTTCTTTTTCTTTTTTGAAAGGAGGTCTCACTGTGAAGCCATGACTGGCCTGGAACTCGTTATGTAGACCAGGCTGGCCTCCATCTCACAGAGACCCACCTACCTTTGCCTCTTGAGTGCTGGGATTAAAGGTGTGCACAACCCCACCCGATCACCTATTTTTTTTATTGTCTGTAGTTTAGTTAAGTAAATAGAAACGTTTCAAAGCAGGTGCTGTGGTCTGCTGGCCATTCTTCAGAAGTTACCATAAAGAGATCGAAACTCAGTATGTAAAGTAGAAGATTAATTGGGTTCTATTAATAAGAATTATGTGATCATCTCCATGTCATTTTGAAACAACCTTGTTGTAGTCAAATATTTCCTATACATTTATTTTTTTAGTAATATGAAGAGAAACATATTAGCCCTGTGTTTCACTTTCACTTTCCCATTCCTTAACTAAGTAAAATTAATACACAGGGCATGTTGTGATTATGAAGGAATATCTACAATTCACATAATGGTGCTTTGTTTTTATCATTAAAAAAGCATTTCTAGAGGAAGAGAAAAATAATATATCCATTGTTTACCTTATTTCTGTACCAGAAGTCTAAAATCTATTATGAACTGGGTCTCCAGTGAGTTCCAGAGTTCCAGGTTGCTGGGGCTGCAGGAAGACCCTGTCTCAACCCTCCCTCCCAAAGAAACTATTATGAGGTTTTTACCTTAATGTCTCTATGATGACTGATAAGGTTATCCTGGAGCAGAGCTGCTATTTCAGGATGACTCAGGACACTAGAAAGATTAGCTGAGGTCTTGAAAGGCCTGCCATGCTTAGAGGATAAGGTCAAGTGAAGGAAATGAATGTCAGTTGACAGTGAGTTTAGTCACACATGCTGACAATCTACGCATTCCCATGAGTCAAACAATACCTTTCAGTATCAAGCAGACACAGAAAATCCCATTATTTTATGAATTTGTGGAAAGTACCATGCTTATATTTGATTTTACACAATTTCTAAATGCAGAGTAAACATTTGCAGTGGGATTTAAAACTTACCTTATCTTCAAGTTGGTTACTGTGCAGAAGCACTAGGGGACTATCAAGTAATCAGCATAATTTTGTAGATTGTTTTCATCTTTTGTATCCTGAAGTCATTGCGCTTTATATTACTGCCATTTTTATGTTGCTTCTGAGCCATTGTAAATTCTGGATTTGCTTTCTTTTCCCTGGTAGTGTGTCTACAAGAAAGCAACCGCCTTTGTGCTGCGAGCAGTTGGTAAACATTCCCCTCAGCTTGCGCAGGCCACAGTGGACTGTGGAGCCCTGGATTCGGTGGTTTGCTTAGAAGATTTCGACCCTGGGGTCAAGGAGGCTGCAGCCTGGGCAGTTGCATATATTGCAAGACATAATGCAGGTAATGGACTATATCTGAAACCAAATTGATTCAAGTTGAGATTTATGAGCTAAAAACAGCTTTGTTTAATAAATCATTAATAGGGTTTTAAGGGTATTTCTTGATAGTATAAGAGATCAGTCTTGAATGACAGCCAAACTGTTTGGATCACATATTTACAGAATACTTACATATCCGAGTCCAATCAGAGGGGGAACTTGAAGGAGGAGGATGGTGTAGAGGACTGGGATTAGTAGCCAGGGCAATGGTGCATGTCTGTAATTCCAGCATTCAAGAAGCAGAGCCAGGAGGATGCAAGGGATGTTTGAGGCCAGCCTAGGCTACATGGCAAGTGCCTATCTCAAAACCAAACCAAACTAAACAAAATAAGCCAAAACAAACGAACAAAAAATCTGGCTAACCAAATAAACACATCCCTGGTAACTGGCTGGTTGGAGAGGATATTGTGTTTGTCGCCTCGGACCTCACTGCGTTTTACTGTCATTCATGACTGGGCGTTCCCAGCCATCTAGGAACCAAATCACATGAGTGAATGATGTGAAAATGACATAAAGTTGTAGAGAATGTTTGTATTCCACTCATGGTGGGCAAGAAGGAGAAGGAAGCCAGAAAGGGGAACGTTCTTCTATACACTGACATCTTGGTGAAGTCAACAAGAAGGCATTTACCTAATCTCTTCTTGGGAGAAGGCTGTGTAGACATACCGAATCGAAAAATGAACCACCCGGAAAGAATCTCTGTAGAAGCTGCTTGAGAACAGATGGCACAGGAAGACGTGAAGATGACAGCTTCGCTAGTTATCAACACCCCGCAGACTGAAACATCGGGGAAGAGTCGTGGAGGAGCTGCCGTGTGAAGAATGAGTTAGAGTCCTGTGCTTACCTGCTGTGTGATCTTGGCCATGGCTTTGGAACGTCCTCAACCTTCACAGCATCATTTGAACAGAGGGTAGCTGACAGTAGTCGCTTCAGAGATTTGTGATGAGGCTGATGAAACCATAAGTAAAGTGCTTGAACCAGTGCTTGCATGTATTAGTATTAAATGCTGGAAAAGACAGTGTAACATTTATGACTTTTAGCCAGGTATGGGGGCACATGCTTGTAGTCCCAGTTACTAGAAGGGTGGAGGCAGGAGGAATGGAAGTTTAAGGCCTGCACAATACAGTAAGACTCTCATCTTTAAAAAAACCAAACAAACAGTAAAGTGCTGGGCATAGTGGTGCATGCTTTAATCCCAGCACTCGGGGGGAGGCAGAGGGAGGCAGATCTCTGTGAGTTCAAGGCCAACCTGGTGTACATAATGAGTTCTCGGCCAGCTGGGACTACAGGGAGACCCTGTCTAAAAATAAAAATAAAAAAATAAATAAAATGATATTGGAGGAGGAACTACAAATTGCATAAACTTGTCGAAAGCAGTTTGGCAAAACTAATGTAAGCCATGGGAGATCTTGGGCTACACTAAACATCTGTTTGGAAATTGATCCTCAGGAAAGAATAGCACAGAATGAAAATGTCCCTGAAAACATTAGTATAATATTATTTGTAATATCAAAAAGCCTCAAATATTTGGCAGAAATTTAGTGGTTAAATTATAGTAATCTACTTAATGAAATCTCATGCAACAAAGTAAAAGGTAATTATCATGCCTACATAGTAACACAGAAAAGCAATTATCATGCTAGAATGGTAGGTTACAGTTATAATAATGTGAAAATGGTTTTCATATGCACAAATTATAAAGAAATACATGTTTGCATTAATGAGGAGGTAGAAATAAGGATGCCGCTTTTCACCTCCAGATCTACCAGTGTCTATATTGAAAACTGCTGCTGTGTCCTGGGTAGTTATGAGATGGGCTTTGTGTCTTGTCGTTCAGATCACCTCACTTTGATTGCTGACACCCTAGGTATTTCTCTTCCTATTCAACCAAGAAAGTGTGACTTAGAGAGGATGCCGGAAGCTATGTGCATGGTGACATCAGAATTTGGGTCTAAATCTGACTCCCAAGTCCATGCTAACTGCTGTACCATGCAACTGCATTGACCACTTACTGCCAATACTAAAGAAAACCCACAGGATCAGACAGAGGCTGTCCCTCGTTGTCTCTGTTCTTAGCACAGTGACATCACCAGAGGCAGAATAGAAAAGCAGGTAACTAAGTCGAGAAAGAAAACTATTGTCATGCTTAGAAAGATGTGTATTAAAATTAACTTTTATCCCCTGGTATATGGAGTTTGGTTTTCCAAATACCTTCACCTGGAGCTTGTTTACATGTGGAGGACATTTGATGTTTTCAGCCAGAAGCTGGAAGCTACAAGGGAGGGTTTAGTAAGTTATTGATACCTTAGACGGACCCGTTCCACATGGTGACATGAGTCTCTCAGAGGAGTTGCAGAGGAGCTCTGAGGGCTAACCAGACACCCTGCCAGGCTGGTGCCGGGAGGGACCCTTCTCATCCCTCCTTTTTGGTTAAGTCTGGGAGCTCTGGTTGTAGTTCACACCTAGGATCTGACTCAGAGATCCCATTCCAGTTTCTTGTGATGATCTGGCTCCCATGTGGAATTCCCACTGTCATTGTACTATTTCTTAGTAATCTCCCTGAAGTTGTGACTGCACAGATTTCTCAGAAGTAAAGAGAACTGGTGTCTAGAACCACAGAAGTCACTGGTTACATCGGAATCGGTGACAACGGAGGATTTACCTCCAAAAACCTGGGCTATTTCTCAAGAATTTCCTAAAAGTGGAATATAATGAAATTACTTGAGTAGCATTCACTCAATGTTCTCTTCTTAATATTTGCGATAAGGTATCTAATTTGACATTAAAAAGTTTTTTAACTCTAAATAGAAATGCCAAAGAAAGTGTGCCTTACGAGCGACAGGAGGAAACGGTTGTATGTGTAGGAAAGAAAATGAAAAGAAACATACAATAGAAGAAGAAATCATCTGACTTTTATAGTCTGGCAACTTTAAAAATATTATTTATTTATTCATTTATTTAGAGACAGGGTCTCATGCAGCCCTGGCTGGCCTGGAACTCTCTTTGTTGACCAAGCTCTTCTAAACTCACAGAGATCTGTCTCTGCCTCCTGAGTGCTGAGATCAAAGGTGAGTGCCACCACTCTTGGCATGAAACAATTTTTAAAGTTACTTATATGTGCAGCTTTCAGAATATTTTGCCAGGAACCAAAAATTAACCTTTATGTTGGCAACTGGAAATGGCGTTGCTCGTTTTCATGCTGCACAACTATTGTGTGACCACATCGGCTTACTTAACCAAATAAAATCTGTCTTGGTTTTCAGAGGCTAGTCTGGTTTTGGAGACAAAAGGGTGTCTAGTCAAGCATTGTGGCATATGCCTTTAATCCCAGCACTGAGGAGGCAGAGGCAGGCAGATCTCTATGAGTTCAAGGTCAGCCTGATCTACATAGGGAGTTCCAGGCCAGTCAGGGCTACGTAGTGAGACCCTGTCTCAAAAACAAAAACTCCAGAAAACTTAAAGTGACTTAGGGGCTGGAAAAATGACTCAGTGATGCAGAGGATCAGAGTTCAGGTCCCAGCACCCAGGTTAGGTGGCTCACAGCTATATATAACTCTAACTCCAGGGGTTCTGACGCCCTCTTCTAGCTTCTGTGAGCACTCACATAAATAAATACACATAAATAAAAATTAAATTAAAAACAGGTGTATACATATATATATTTTGGTCTTTTTGAAACAGGGTCTCCCTGTAGCCCCAGCTGGCCTGGAACTCACTATGTAGACCAGGCTGGCCTTAAACTCACAGAGATCCACCTGCCTCTGCCTCCAAAGTGCTGGGACTACAGGCATGCGCCACCTAGAGTTCTTCCATGTGAGAAAAGAAAGCATCCAAGACCCCATCCTTCATCCTTCAACCTCAAGCTCCTTGTGATGTGGGAAAGTCTTGCCAGACACCTCTGCTTCTGGCAGCCAGAGACCAGCCTGGTTCCCTGGGACTGGCAACAGCGGACACCATCGGAGCATTGCTAGTTATAGCCCACTTATTTAGTGTGTTGTGTGTGGAAGGACTCAAGGCCAAACTGGTCAGCCTGATTGTTTCCTATCATCTATAGAAAAATGAGAAAAAGAGAGGGGATTTTAAAATGTAGAACTTTTGCAAGATTCGTCTCTATCAATGTACAGATATCAGCATAGTGTAGAATGGATTAGGAAGCTATTACTTTTTTTTAAATTTATTTTTATTTTATGTGTACGAGTGTATTGCCTAAATGTGTGTAAGTGCACTCATGTCTTGCAATGCCCATGGAGGTCAGAGGAGGGTGTTGGATCCCCTGGAACTGGAGTTACCAACACAGCTGTCAGCCTCCATGTGAGTGCTGGGAATCAAACCCGGGTCCTCTGCAAGAGCAGCCAGTGCTCTTAACTACTGAGCCATCTCGCCAGCCACGGAAAGCTATTATTAATTTAAAAATTTATCACATATTTATTTATGATGACACTACCTGAAAACTGTTCCCTTAGCAATTTTCAAAGTAATTAACTTTGAAAAATGCAAATGTTAGTGATAAACATCAGAGATAAGAGTTTGGGACTTTGTACTGTGTATGTTAGAGTCTGGATGCGTGTGAAGGGGACTAGAACCCGGTAGTTTAAAACTCAGGGTAGTCCTCTTCTATTGGCCAAGGTACTGAGGACGCTTAGACAGGAACATTGTAGGTGTTTGAGATCAGCCCTGGTGATACAATGTGGAGCCACCAATCTCAACAAAAGGAAAAACTTAAAAGCCCTATGGACAGCTGTCTTTGCTAGTGGCTATAAAGAAGAGTGCTGATTTTGTAATGTTTTAAACTTTTTTCTTTTCAAAAAGATTTTACTTAGAAAATATTTTTATTGAATCTTTGCGAATTTCATATAATATATTTTGATCACATTCAGATAACCTCCCTCATCTCTATCCCCACCCTACTACCCCCCTCCAGACTTTAGGTCCTCAATTTTTCTATTTTTTTTGATTTTGGGG